TGCTAATTGGTCTATATGTCAGACAGTTACAACACTTTTCTCTTAGTTGGTCCCATGCATTTACTTAAGAAGCCACAGTTAATAAGACATTCTCACTGAAATACAGAGATCAGCATGAGAAACTCATGCAGATATTCAAGCTCATCCTATCTTCTTATGCTTCCTCTGCTTTTTTCGTTATATGTTAAAATATTAATGGGATGATCATTTCCTTACCGTCATATGCATGTGCATGGAAGTGTCTCTATCAAATAATTTATTAGAGTCACAGTGCAGAGTGTGCATGCACACACACACACACACACACACACACAATATGCATTATATAAAGTATCATTCTATTGCTTGCTCTCTCTCTCTCTGTCTCTCTCTCTCTGGATAATAACCATTGCTGTGGGGTTTGAAATTATCCTCTAAACTGTGAGCCATCAGCAGTTTAGAACACATGAATACATTCTTTAATGCAGGCAGTAATAAAGTAGCACAGTCTATACAAATGTGCTTTACTTCACATCATGAAAAAGAAGGTTGGCAGGATATTAATGTTCATTTTACATTTACAGTTTTTATTCTACTCCCAGTGTTGGAGAGTAAAGAATTAATACTTTTATACAGCAAGTATTCATTAAATTGATCAAAAGTGACAGTAAATGCTTTTATAAGAATTATATTTAAAATAAATCATGTTCTTTTGAGCTTTCTATTCATCCAAGATTCCTAGAAAAAAAATTTTGTTTTCTCGAAATATTAAGTTGCACACCTGTTTTCAACATGGATGAAAAAAAAACTAACTAAATACAAAATTCTGAAGGATCATGTCACACTTATAAGTGTATTAATGGCTGCTGAAAATGTAGCTTTGCCATCACAGGAATACATTACTTTTTAAATATATTATAGTTGATAACACTTTAGTATAGGGACCAATTCTCACTATTAACTAGTTGCTTATTAACATGCCTATTATTAACATTGGCTGTTGTCTGTTTATTAGTACTTATAAAGCACATATTCTGCATGACCATATTCTACATCCCTAATCCTACCCAATACCTAAACTTAACAACCACCTAACTATATATTAATAATCAGCAAGTTAGTAGTTTATTGAGGCAAAAGTTGTCGTTAATAGTTTGTTAATAGCGAGAATTGGACCTTAAAATAAAGTGTGACCAAACAGTTATGTAATATTATTCGTTTTATATAGACATTTCACAATCCTGCATGTGCTTTAGTGGTTGGTGGACAGAATGAAAATGAAAATATTCCATTTCTACAGGGAAATAAACATTAGTCTTGAATTTGCTCTACATCATTAGACATGGCATTATGGTGCATTTTAAGTCTGTATCCTCAATAGATACTGCTTGTCATTGCCTGACTGGGCAGCAAAGCCATAGGTTTTGGACACAGTCAAAGTAGCTTCCCCTGAACTGTCTATTTGTGACCACGAGTGCTGAATTAGCTTGCAGTACCGACTTGAGCTGATGTATAGCTGCAAATATAGTGCCCTTTAGAGTAGTTGAGTTATCTGGCATATTGTTTTACCCTCGTAACAAACCAGCACTTAAATGTTTGTGTTCTATCCAGCTGGTCTTCTATAAAGGTCAGCAGATGGATTCCCTATGAGGCCAAGCCAAGATGTTCTAGTGTTAGTGTGTCAGAATATTCTGGGCAGCCACATTATGCAGTCATGTTGTCAGGGGCTACTGGAAAGTGTTATTTTTACTTTTAAACATCCGCAAGACAACTTGTTAGAGTTACAAAATGTGTGAGATTGCAAACATGTAAAACAGTCCACATTTATAAACCAATGATTCTGAATGTGCTGCTTTTCAAATATAGTAACTGTTTGATTAAGCAAACAAGGGCTGTTAAAATAAAGATTAAAACTCTCTCTCTCTCCCTCTCATTTGAATCCTCTATCAAATGCTCTACTAATTTGTTCAATTTGACTGCAAGCAAAACTTTTCTCACTGAATTTACTTTGTGTGATGTGATGTACTCCAGGAGGAAAGTTTTTTTTTTTTTCTCTCTCAATGGTTGCTCTTTCACAGGAGACTAAATTAAGTTCTCAGTTACATTTTATTTAGGTTTCACCTTGGATGTCTTGTGTCATAGAAGAGAGTTATTGTAGTCATGCAACAAAGTTCAGACAATTTGATCTTAGAAGACAATGGTGAGAAATCTTTGAGTTCATATTGAGATCTCATTTATTATTGCAGACTTTTGTATCTTGCCAAATCTGAACATAGTTGTTGAATATCTAAAGGGGGGTCGTTCTCATTTGTGTGATCATTAGGGTCTTAAGCAGGAAACTTAAAACAATAGTTCACCCAAAAATAAAAATTTGCTGAACATTTACTCACCATCAGGCCGTTTAAAATGTAGATGAGTTTGTTTCTTCATCAGAACAGATTTGGATAAATGTAGCATTACATCACTTGCTCACCAGTGAATCCTCTGTAGTGAATGGGTGCCATCAGAATAAGAGTCCAAACAGCTAATAAAAACATCACAGTAATCTACATGAATTAACATGTTCTGAAGTGAAAAGCTGTGTGTTTGTAATAAACAAATTGTCTTATTATCTTAAACATTTTTATTGTAACTTCAAATGGTTGCTTCCTGCTAAAATACGAGACCAATATCCATAATATTGCTTTCTCCAGTGGAAAAAGTTGACTTGTCTGAATTAGAAGAGAAATATGCACAGATCAAACACCGTTTAGAACCAAAAACCATCCAAAACAGTTCTAAACAAATATGTCTGTGTATTTTGATGTGAGAAGACTTTTTCCACTGGAGCAAGTGCTATTTAGAATTGGTATTTTGGCCAAAAACAACAGTTTAAAGTTAAAAGTCTTGATGGATTTATATATTTTTTTTAATTCACATCACAAGATGTTAACTGATGGACTGGAGTCCCGTGGATTACTTATGGATTATTGTGATGTTTTTGGACTCTCATTCTGATGGCACCCATTCACTGCTGAGGATCCATTGGTAAATGTCTCCAAATATGTTCTGGTAAAAAAAAAAAAAAACTCCTCTTCTATGGCCTGACGGTGAGTACATTTTCAGCAAAGTTTTATTTTTTGGTGAGCTATACCTCTATACCTTTAAGCATTGAGTTTTAACATTGGAGTCTGTGAAATACAATTGAGATATAATGGAGGGTAATGACAGATTTCTGAAAAATGCCTTGACATTGTACTCTCCAGGAGGAGTCACGAGAAGCGCGATCAACTCCACCCCTACCTCCTACCACCCTCTCTTGCCTGTTTCCTAGGGTTGATTTAGTTATTATGGGCTCTTTCTCCTTCGTTCCAGTGTCATTGCACACAGATTAGATGGGTTTTGGATTGGACATCATATATCAGCAAGTCAATCCATCAAGGATGTTTTTTGAGGTGACTTGCTACTGCCATCTGTTGAAGTCTTTTGTGTCCTCTGGGCTATATTTCACAGGTTTTAGTTGTCTCTCAAATTCTATATAGTTTACCCTTTACCCTCTTTTTGCCAAAAATAAATAAATAAATAAATAATTCAATGCATTTGGCAGATTTTTATTATTTTTAATTTAATACATTTTTAAATACGCATTTCAATTCATGCATTCTCTGGTAATCAAACCCAGGACTTTGCCATAGCTATAGTGCCATGCTCTCGTTGAGCTATATAATTTTTATTTTATTTATTTATTTTTTTGCTTCTCTGACAATTTCTTTTTCCAGTGTTCACCAAAATTGGGTCAGCTCATTTTCAGACCAAGCCTTATACAAGAATGACTGAATGGATTTTTGATTTTCATCCCCATTCCCTATTAAAACTGTAATAAATTTGACAGCAAGGCCACCGCTAAGGGAGGCTATTTTTTTTTGCTATGCTGCTACGTATTGAAATGTAATATATATATTGTACCATGGCCTGATGGACCTCATTAAGTTTCAGGATTATGCCAAAGCTGTAAAAAGTGTTCAATCACTCTAATAGCCTACAATTGTGATTATCTGACTCTTTCAGTCATGCTTAATGTGGATCTCTGCCATTCCAATGCCTGGCCTCATAATTATCATGGGCTGTATTTTATTATTGTATCTTGTTCAAGGGCCAAGGGCCACGGCATCTTCCCCAGATGAACTGTTTGGCTCAAACACAAAATGCCATTTGTAACTACTTCCTCCCACTGAATCCTGAATACATTATGAATATTCAATGACCTTTGAAACTCTCCCAATTCAGCTTGTAGGTTTTTATATTCTCTTTCATATGTTTGCCTGATTGACAGCATTGACAGCCCATTCAAACCCCCCATGCCCCCCCCATTCAATACGAATATGAATGTGTCTGTTTGAGTCCTCTTTGTCACTCTTTTGGCTTTCACTCTTTCTCTCAGCCTGAAGCTCGTACTCTTTCTTGAAATATGTGAACAGGGATAGGTGACAGAGTATGGAGAACAGTTTTAGTGTTAGACTAAGACATTTCAGTACAACTGAAATACAAATGAAAGTGAGACACTAGCTTAAGGAAACTTAAGGTAAATCATTTTATTCTTTTAAACATTCTTTCCTCTCATCTTCGATCTGTCTATCTGCCTCTGCGGCTCTCATGCAAATTAAGAGAAGTTTCCAGCAAAGAGTGTGGACAAGTACATAACCTATTCTGCACAGGCTGAATTTAAAGATTACCAATGCTGAGGAAATACATCATGTTACACCAGAGGAAATATTTGATTAAATTTGCCTAGAAATGGATTCAGTTGTGCTTCACAAATGGAAGCGAGGGCACACGACAGGGATTTGATAAATGAGTTCCCTTTGCCTAAGTCTCGAAAGACAGATTCTTGGTGAGCTTACAAATGTGGGAAACTGCTGCGTGATGTCAGAATATGATCTTTGCCACTTAGCTCTGCGGTTTGCCACATATCTCAGTCACAGTGCTTTGACTGACATGTTCTGTATGTAAAGTGCTTTCTTGGGGGTTTCCTTTTTATGCAGGTGAAAAACATAAATATTTATCATGGTGTGTTTGTTTTTGTCAGCTATCTCTATGCTTTATATGCTTTTACTTTACTTTTCAGACTAATTCACTTCTTTGAATGCACTTTAATTTACATTTTAGTTGTATATTCATAGAGACATTTACTTTGTCTACCAAAGCATTTAATTATAAGACTTTTGATTTCTCTTCATCTTAAATCTCATAGTTTTAATTGTGTTTCTTCCAAGAATACAAGAACAGAACAAAATGTAATATTTAATATAAATACATTTTATAATCTATAATAATTTTCTGTTGTTATTAGGATTATTTTCAATCTAAAGTGTGAAAATAAAATAAAATAAAATACATAAATAAACATTCATTTTTATGCTATTACTTTTAACAATACTGGCAATTTTTCTAAAGATCTACTTAAGACATAAATGTATATTTTGTCTACCAAGCAAAGTATAAGTCTCCTGATTTCTCTTTTGATGACTTAACTTAATATTAAATCTCAGTGTTGGTTGATTTCCTTTCAAGAATGCAAGAATAGAGGGGGAAACATGTATACATAGTTTTAGCATGATTAATTCTTTATAAAATGCAAACAAATAAACAAGCAATGCTCCCTGTCTGGCATTTGAAAAACATTCCATTTTATACTAACAATATTCAACAATATTCTGCTGGTAAAGTACTGAATATGCTTTTATGACTGGATAGAAAATCAGTTCTGTACTGTACAACATAGGGGCTGTAGACATTTTGGCAGGCACTGAGAAACTAAAGTATAGCGGAAATGTCAGCTGGGCTTTCAAACAGTCACACATTCTATAGTCTGTAGAGTCTTTGATTGCAGGGAATCTTTTTTTTTCTTCAGACTTCATTATCTCAGCTCTGACTGATGCAATGAGCTTTGGCTGGAGTGTCACTTGCACAAAGTACTGAAATGACACTGTAACCACTTACCCATGATGCAGTTCACACCAGCGATGGCATGTTATTGTCACTCAAACTGAATAGATTTTTATCTGGTTGTTAATAATGTGCAGAGAAGGGAGAAACATTAAACAACTTGTTGCATATTATAATTTGGGATTCAGACTTCTCACAGCAAAAACCAAACAGATAATATTGCATGCTGTTGCATATTTGAAGATGATAATTCAGAATTTAGCCTCAATTCAAATCTGTTCCTTTCTAGACAAACAAATCAGAAGAAGAAGTAGAAGAAGAAGTTTTCCAGTAATATAAAGTAATACATTTCAGAGTAAGCACTGTTGTTGTTAATAGCAATAATATTCAATTTATTATTATTATTATTATTATAGTTTAGGTAATATAGTTCAGAACCAGACTCGAACCCGTGTTGTATATGAGCACTACTGATCAATGTATTGGTGCATACAGTACGGTTTGTGCTACCAATTAGGGCACAGGTCAGACATGACAGTTCTGATATAATATATGCTCGTTATTCTTGTTTTTTGACCACTCAAAAGCAGTGCAGAGCCCACTGCATGTAAAGACAGAGTACACACAAACGTATTTACTCTGCATTCACAGTATGATGATAACAAAAACAAAAGAAAAATAGGCTTAGTTGAGGTGCACGATAGAGTCTTTGTTGAGTTTCAGAATGAGGAGCCAGCAGAATGATCAATCAGCATGCACTTTTTTGAGAAGATGTGACTTGAGGTGATGTATGGTTGTTTTTTTTTTGGTAAACAGTTATGTGGTTTGAGTGGCAGGAGCACTCACGGCTTATCTCTCGCTTTGAACTCTTGCTTATTTATTCTGAAACATAAGCATCAACTTGGTGAGTCATTGCTGTGCTTCCTTATGCGGAAAAACAGCGGTAATTGATCGTTACCACGCGTGAATCCGACATTCACTGACGCTTTTAGCAACAGTCCCCTTTCAGTTCCAGCAGAGTAAAATGCTTCTTGCTGTCCTCTGAAATACTCAATGACCTTTCCAAAGCCTGTCAATTACAGGAAACCAATTAACATATTGTTCTCAGTCCAGTTATTTTCTCCTTCTCACTTTCACTCCTTTTTCCCGTTTTTGTCTCTCGGGTAACTGCTGGGGAGATTCGAGCTTCACAAATTAGTGGTGTGAGCTAGAGGACTCAATTACCTGGAAAAGGTCTCGTTCATGACACTGCTGCTCACAGCCCGCAGAGGAAAGCAGGGAGGGGATCAGGACCGGCACTGGGAGGGAACGGTTGGGAGAGAGGAAGAGAGAGAAAGTTAAAAGGAAGATGGACGGATAGGGGGTGAGAGAGGAAGTGGACGTGGGGAAAAAAAGGAAAGAAAAAACGCAGGTGATTTGATGTGAAGTGGTGTGGTTTGCTTTGCGGCTTTGCCAAAAATATGAGCGGAACTTCTTGGTCGCTGTCCATGGTGCTGAACTGCTTAACAAACCACTGGCTGCTGTCCATGGTGCTGAAGCCCTTGTGTCTAGCATGTGCCAATGTCTGCAATGATTAAAGGGCCATCTGCTCCAGGCTGAATGAATTATGACTGAGGGGAAAGTCCCTTCTATAACGTTTGATATGCATAATTGGTTCCGTTGTAGCTCGTCTCCGCACTTTGGAGTGGATTTCGGATGCCGCTCGCTCTGTGTCGGTCCATTAGGTGTTATTCTGAGGATGTATGAGTTCATTGTTGGAGCTTACCTTTGACAGAAAATTCATCTTTCTCCCTCTCTCATTTTATTTATTGTCTTCCAGTAGCAGTATTAGTGTTCTCTACTGTCTAGTGTTCTCTCTCTGTCCCCATTCAGACGTGTCATCCTATATTATTGCAGTAATTGTTTCAGCCCTCTGAATGTAGCCGGCGCAATAACAATGTTAATGACCTCTCAGAAGTGAGCTGAACCTGTGTGCGCTTGTGTCGAGATTATGGGGAAGAGTGTTTTATATGTGGAAATGAATAGGTGTTATTGTGGCCATAAAGGGCTCTTCATTCTGCTGAATACAGATGTATATACAGTGTCAGCTGTGTAACCTTCCCATACATCCTGCACTGTATACTTCCAGTCATAACATGTGAGACTCGTTGGAGAACAAAACTCCTGATGGTAATGATACAGTGGTGGAGGAGGATGTTTTCAGTGTTTTTGTTCTAATCATAATGATATTGAACTTTGGATTACAGAAATAGACTCTTTGTATACAGAATGTTTAGGCTTTGAAGAAGAATGCTATAATATGTTTGTTTTTTCCCCCCATACATAGTTTCTTGAAAAACATACAGTAAACATTAAAAGTTAGTTCACCCAAATTAAAATTCAGCCATTTACTCACCCTGGTGTTGCTCCAAGGCTGTATGCCCTTCCTTCTTTTTTTGGGAAACAAAAGGGGAAAAAATGTCTTGCTTGCGCTCACCCATATAAATGGCAGTGAACAGCAACCACCATCCTTTTTTTTAAATACACAAAATATCATATAATTGTCCCATGTGATACCTGCCATAAATTCTAAATGTTCTAGGGGTATACGATAGGATTTGGTGAAAAACAAACTGAAATTTAATGTATTATTTAACGAAAATCCTAAACTTGGCTGTTGGTTTTTAACTTCACATTTATAAGACTTTATTAGTGGAACAGTTCACTCTGATTTGCCCAGAAAAAGCACACAAGAGCTTTGAGAAATCAAGATTACACAAAATGAAAAACCTTGAAATCCCAAAAATCTCTGGACCAGAACTACAGATGTCAGATGATAGTCAGAATGGCAGTTGACAGATGTGAATGTGATATCTTGTTGTTGCTACAAACACAGATATTTTCACCATACAGAAAGTACATTGATTGTATTTTGTGTTGGATTTTCAATAATCTTGATTTCCCACAACTTTTGTGCTTTTTCTGGGTGAATCGGAGTGAACTGCTTCACTAATTAGAGTGTCATGAACATGCAATTGTGCACAGAAAACCAACAGCCAAGGTCAGGATTTTCATTAAATAACAAATTAAATTTTGGTTTGTTTTTCGCCAAACCCTATCATATAACCCCTTGTGTCACATGGGACCATTCTGGCATAAATTGGGATCTTTTATTTGAAAGCTTGATGCTGGTTACTATGCACTGCCATTATATGGACAACCACGAGCAGGACAATGTTAAAACTCTCCTTTTGTGGTCTGAAAAAGAAAGAAGGGTATACAGCATTAGAACAACACCATTGTGAGTAAACAATCACTTCATTTTCATTTTTGGTTGAAGTAACCCTTTAACCTTAACCCTAAACACTTTTTTTTCAGTGTCTTTAACCTATTAGAAGGACAAAAAATGAGCAAATGAACCACCTTTCACATCCAGTTGCTAAATGACTTCCTGTGTTTTAGTAGGCCAGCTCCCTGCAGATCAGTGCAGAGCATGTCCGCCCTCTTCATGCTCTCTGTTCCTCTAAGTGCTTTCCATTCTATGACACTGATCGATGGAGAACAGTCATAAACTCTCCCACTGCAGGACTTCTTCACTCATAATGGGAAACACCAGGACAGTGTTTTCCTGTCATTTTGTCACACATAAATCTGTTGGTTGTAGATGAGTGTTTCCTCAGCAATGGCCACTTTTGACCTTGTGGACACATTTTTCACACTCTGACTATTTTATCTAATTTGTCTACTAACAATCTCCAGCAGTGAACAGACATGCCTTACAGGATAATTCTGTCATTTTTGTCATTTTGTTGTGAAAGTCATGAACACTTTCACCCCAGTATCATTTCCATCACATTTCAAAATGTGCATTGTGCTTGAAAGCTGTTCGTGATTGCCATTTTATTCCAAAATGTTTAAAGTGCTCTAAAATGCTCTTTTGCTAAGCATACTTTCATAGATATTGGTTTATCTGTCCTAAATACACAAAGTTAAATACTATTTTCACACATTTCACACAAAGGTGTTTGACAATGTGAAAATATTCTGTTCACAATTTACCTTATTTTTTCTCATATTTGTCATATTTCTTGATTTCATTGCAAGCATGCCCTTTACTGGCATGGTTTCT